CAGGAAAGCCACCTGCGTTGCAACCCACAGCCGGGGAAAGCATCCCTTCTGCGCTTTCCTCTCCGATTCCTGCTCCGCGGGAGGCGCACTCGAGAGGCGGGGAAGCGAGGAAAGAAAAAGGAGCCCGAGCGGAGGTCGCGGAGCCCCCGCTTTGGGTCCCCGGGCACCTTGGCTGAGTCGAGGCGCGTCCGACCCTCCCCGGGGGTCGCTCCACCTCGCACCCGGGTCTCTGGCGTCTTCCTCACGCACCTGGAGCTGTCCAGGGCCCGCGGGCCGCGAACCTCAGGGCCCAAGCGCCGTGAGGTAAGCGAGCGCACGTCCGCAGGGCCGGCGCCGCAACGGGCCGAGCGCGCAGGCGCGGCGTCTGGGTGCGCTCAGGAACGTGGTCCGACCGGAAACAGGCTCCTCCCAACTCAGGGTCGTGGAGGCCTCCGCGCTGCCCGGCCGTTCCGGGGGCGGAGACTTCCTAGGCGCGCCTTCGACTCCTGCGTCATTCTCCCCGGAATTGCGGGGGAGAAAGAATAAAGGAGTGAAGAAGGGTGCATTTTTCATCTCACGCCTAAACCTCGATGAGGGAAACCCTGGAGCCGGGATCAGTGGAAAGTGGAGTGGACTCGCCGACTGGAAGCTAGCGAGTCGGCCTTCAAAGCCCACTTGACAGTCCTCTCGAATGCAGAGGGCTGGCGGTGGTAAACAAAACGCCCTGTGTGTGCCAGGACTGCCCTCAGCACTTTGTACGTTGCCAAAGTAAATACAGCTTAGAGGTCAGGGACAGGGGCTTTGTGGTCAGACACAACGGGGCTCCGCTCGGGGCTTTGCTAGTTGCCTGCCAGCCGCGGACCTAGTAAGCCCTTCTCTGCCCCAACCGTTCCACATGTCTTTGTTGTCTGCAGTGTGCGAAGCCCTGTGCTCAGCGTCTTAGTTTGTTTTCAGATTGTTCTGACGATTAGGTAAAATGCGTGTGAAGTGCTCAGTATAATTCCTGGTGTAGCCCCTCAAAGAGCTCTTGTCTATCATCATCATTATCTATCTTATCTATATCTATCTATCTTTTTTTTTCGGAGTCTCACTGTGTCGTCCAGGCTGGAGTGCAGTGGCACGCTCACAGCCGCCACAGCCTCGACCTGCTTGGCTCCGGCGATCCTCCCCCCTCAGCCTTCCAAGTAGCTGGAGCTACAGGCGCTGCACCACCATACCCAGCTAATTTTTCTTGTTGTATTGTAGAGACGGGGTCTCGTCCAGATTGCCCAGACTGGTCTCAAACCTGTGGGCTCATGCAAACCTCTCGCCTCCACCTCCCAAAGTGCTGGGATTACAGGCGTGAGCCGCGGCGCCCGGCATCATTATTTATTAATTACTGTTTTAATATTAAGTACAACTTTATGAAGTAATGCCATCCCATTATAAGATGAGAAAAACGCGACTCAGAGACGTTACTAAACAATAAAGGTGGGCTTTGAATATAAGTAGTCTAATACCATACCTACACTTGTAATTCACTGTTGCTTTCTAAATTACAGATATTTCAACATTGTATGTAGACACCATTAAGGGCCAAATGTAGTACAGTTACAGACTTAAGTGGCACATTCTTACTGCATAAGATGCTAAGGTGTCTACTAAAGATTGTAAGAACAAAAGACAACAGAGAAGAATGTATTGTGTTTAATGCAGGTTCTGATTATTATTGTCTCACCTTGAGAGAAGAGGAAATTAGAGCAAATATTTAAGCATACTTTTTCGACTTTAACCAACTTTTTGCATTACTTTCTAATGACCGTTGACAATAAAAATAATTAGTTTCTACCAAAAAAAAAAAAAAAAAAAAAGCAGGAAGAAAGTCTAAAAAGAAAGTCTCTATTTTGGATGTCTTGACATGAGGAAATGGCTGACTGGAAATGAAGTTTTGCTTCCATGTAGGAACTCTGGAGGAGTTGGATTGAGGAAAGTTTGAAGTCCCGGCTTCCAACGAAAGCAGAGATAGAGAAGGGAAGAGAAAAGCTTTAGGTGTCCTGAATGCTAATCCCAAGGTAGGGATACTGTTTGTCCAGGTAATCCTTGGAAGCCTACTTCATTCTGCAGCATCTCCAGGGGAACTCAGCTCAGCCAAATCATGGAAAGAACTGCATCCATCACCAGCCACAAAAATCCTGAGAGGTCGGGCTCGGTGGCTCAGCTGGTAATCCCGTACTTTGGGAGGCCAAGGTGAGTGAATTGCCTGAGCCCACTGGTTCGAGAGCTGCCTGGGCAACTTGGCGAGACCTCATCTCTACAATAAATAAAAAATAATATTAATAATCCTAAGGAGAGATCATGAGAGAACACTAGCTGAAACTGGGGACCCATGTAGGATGAGACTGGTTCTTTATCATTACCTGCAAAACAAATAGGCCTTTGCATCCAGAGCCTGAATTTGAAATGTAAATGCAACTGGGACTTGTATAAGCTATTCTCCGAGGCCATATACCCCAGGTCATAACCTCCCTCATTTACTCTGAGAGATGTCTCAGGACTTTTCTAGAAACAAGAGAAAAATTAATGTGAATATGTGTCATCGGTAAGGCGTGATGGCTCAGCACTTTGGGAGGCCGAGGCAGGATTGGTTGAGGCCTGGAGTTCAAGACCAGCCTAGGCAACATAGCAAGACCTCGTCTTTTAAAAGATCAAAAGATTAACTGTGCGTGGTGGAGCACACCTGTAGTCCTGCCTCTCAGGAGGCTGTGGAGGGTGAATCACTTCACCCCAGGAGGTCAAGGCTGCCATGAACCATTATCATGCCACTGCATTCCAACTTGGGCAACAGAATAAGAACTCAACTCAAAAAAAAAGCCATCAAGGAAAACTTTACTGAATAGGTGAGATTTGGACTAGCACTTAGTACTGGTAGAATATGCCTAAATAGAAAGTGTGGGGGCAGGATAGAACATGGTGGGCAGAAATGACAGAATCAAAAAGGAAGTATGACAAGGAAAAATGAAGGGGGACATGACATATGTTTGAGTTAATATCTTACCTCTGCAACTTGTATCCTTAGAGTGTATTTAACCTTTCTAATCCTCAGTTTCCTCATCTGTAAAATTGAGTCATAATCATTCATTTATTTAGTGACATATCAGGTATAAGCATTAAAAGTTCACTTCTAACTATATAAAGATGAAGCAATGAGGCCCTGAACCTTAAATTAATTTTTAGCTCAGAGGAGAAAGCAATATACAAACGAGAACAATATGATAAGAAGGAGATAGATATGTGGGGTGGGGGCACGGGGGAATATCTAAATCTGCCTGGGGGGTTCAGATGGAGATGATCTCTGAGCTGAGGCTTCAATCAGCCATTCATTCTTCCTACTTACATATATTTTATTAAGCCCTTACTATGTGTCAAGTCCTGTTCTAGGCACTGGGGATAGAGTAGCAAATTAAAAAGTCAAAACTTCATTATTCATAGATTCTATATTCTACAAGCAGACAACAAATTAAGTAAGTAAAATATATGATATGTTAAATATTGATAAGAACTGAGGAGACAAAGCACAGAAAGGAGCTATTAAGATTTAGGGGACCTGGGCTCGGTGGCTCAGCCTGTAATCCCGCGCTTTGGGAGGCTGAGGTGAGTGGACTGCCTGAAACCCACCTGGGCAACTTGGCGCGACCTCATCTCTACAATAAATCAAAAAATCACCCGGGCGTGGTAGCGCATGCCTGTAATTCTGGCTACTTGGAAGGCTGAGGCGGAAGGATCGCTGGAGCCCAGCAGGTCGAGGCTGCGGTGGCCGGGAGCAGCCACTGCACTCCAGTCTGGGCAACAGAGTGAGACTCCAACTCAAAAAAAAAAGGATTTGGGGGAGACGGTATTCTGGCATTTTAGTAGATGACCAGTGATGGCCCTAATGAGAAGTTTTCTGATTTTTGAATTGAAACCTGATGGAAATGAAAGAGACTGCCCTTCCCATGGGAGATGGCAGGAAGCAGGGAGAAAAATGAATAGGAACTTGTTTAGTGGACAAGAGAGTGTGCTTTGTGGGGAAGGTGGGGAAAGGAAAGATAGGTAGAGAATATTCCAGTCACAGAAGATACACAGTGAGAGGGGACATAGCAAATGGGAAATACGAGTAATTGCTGGTTGGAAGAGTGGAGGAAGGCAGGAGAGTCACTCATTCAGCAAATAATTTGGAGCACCTCCTATTCACCAGGCTGTTAGCAAGAAGCTAGGAAAGGCCTTATATGTAAAGGTTTTACTTTCTTTGTTAAATATTCTTTTTTAAATTTTTTCTGTGTTTTATTCAAGATAATGTATGAAAGGGCATATTTCATGTTTTTTGTTGGAATATTTTAAAGGCAGAAAAGTTAAGGCCAGGTGTGGTGGCTTACACCTGCAATCCCAGCACTTTGGGAGGCTGAGACAGGATCATTTGAGCTGAGGAGTCTGAATCAGACTGGTCAACATAGCAAGACCCCATCTCTACAAAAAATTAAAAAAATTAGCCAGGCATAGCAACATGCGTCTGTAGTCCCAACTACTCAGGAGGCTGAGATGGGAGAACTGCTTGAGCCCAGAAGTTCAAGGCTACAGTGAGCTATGATCACACCACCGCACTCCCACCTGGGCAACCGCGTTGTCTCAAATAAATAATGACAGAATTTTGAAAGTGAGTTTTAAAACTATTAACGCCACTTTTTGCCTTCAAGTGACAGGCTGGCAGAGAGCTCACATCTCCTGGTTCCATCCCATCTTTCTTGTCTTTCCTCTCTCCTCTCCCTCCCTCTGTGGAGCAGTCAACACAACCATCTGTTTGCCTTCTGCAGATAGTCCACCAACATCTGGACTTCTCAGGTGTCAATCTCCCCCCCCAAGCAATCATCAAAGAACTTTTTCAACAGATTGCTCTCCCTTCTAAGAGAATGTTTGGTGAATAAAACCTTCTTCCATCATATACTATATTTCCTCTAGAAAAATATTTGCAGCTTCTTGTTCATTTTGCTAGGCAACTCCTGAGCATTTTTGGCAGAGGGGTGGGAGGACTGAGGGGATGGGGAATGAGTTGAGGTCAGAAGATAAAGCACTGTGCTGCTGTACTGTATTTCACTCAGGGCAG